AATAATTAAAAGATAATCTAGATCATCAATAAACTTAATTGTTGAATAATTGTTAACATTTTATCAATTATCACATTTTACATTTTATTTTAGATATTCTTAACAAGCGAAGCAGTGTATGTGATTTTGTTCAATTTGCTGGAAAGTATGTACGAAAAAGGGAAGAAAAGAGTCTATAAGGGGGTAAATAGGTCAATTCTTATAATTTAAATAAATTTTTACAAAAAAAACCTTTTTTCTTTTTTTTTTTGTGGTTTTAATGAAATTAATAAGGAAAATATTAAATAATTTTAATGAATTGTATATTTTATATGATGATTGCATTATATATCAATTTGCTGTGTAATATATAAAATAATAATGTATATTTGATAACTATAAAATTTAATATCTTTTAATAAAATTGTAAATACCACTTTTATAGATTAATTATTTTTTAATTATTTACTGTAGGCTTACAGTTTTGATAGTATTGTATTATGCTTGTTTTGTGTCTGTTTTTTGTTTGGTAGGAAAACTCAGGAATTTTGAACTTTTGTGGCATTTTTCATTTCATTTTCATTTCATTTTTCATTGAAAAAATGAAATGAAATGAAATGAAAAATTTTGAACTTTTGTGGCATTTTGAGTGTTTTATACCAAATATATAAAAAAAAAAAAAAAAAATCATATATGCTGCCTAATGACATTGTTGAGTGCTGTATGTTATCTATTCTTGATGAATATCTTGTAATTTTCTTTTCTGTTCAGGACAAAAATGTGATGACATATGATATGACAAATATACAGATCATCAAATACTGGATGAGGTTGATATATACATACGCTGTCCCAGTTGAGCCCCAACAACAGCAGCAGCTACAAGCCAAGAAACCTCAAATTGTGGTGGTTGGTACTCACAGTGAGAGCCTACCTGGGACCGTTGATGAAAAGAAGGAGAAGGTAAAATGTAATCTGAACTTAATGACATAATTTATTAGTAACATGTGAACAGTGTGTGATGCGTTTCTATATTTATTCAGATTGAAGAACAATTTGGAATAATATTTGAATCAATCAAAGGCACTCCTTATGAATGTCACGTGGTGAGGAAAATAAATGCCATTGACAACAAGTCTCAAATCCAAAGCGAGATGCTGACAACACTTAAACAAGATGTTGGTGGATTTCTGAAAGCAATGCCCAAAACCATCCCACTGAAATGGCTTGAATTCCAGCGTATATTGCAGGAGAATGGTAGGACAGCACTGCGCATGACGCATGATGAGGTACGCTTTCATTATGCTGTTGTATATCGATTATATAAATACACTTAAATATAAAAAAATAGTGAAAATGTGTTAAAATAAAAGATACCATTGATTAGTTAATATAGAAAATATATAATATAATGTGCGGTACATAAATATAGAATCTTACTTAATAGACTTGTTGATTGCAACTATCTCTTATGACTTGCATTGTTCAATCAGATTGCGAAGCATTGAATAATATGGCCTTGTCAATTTTTGGAGTGACACATACTATCAGTATGAACATGTTTTTGAATACGGTTTGCTTGTCCTTCCTTAAAATCCAGTTGGTCGCCGTAATGTTGAATACAAAGCCCTTCCTTGTTAATTCTTGTTGTTTACTGTCTCTAAAAATAAACAATTTGTGAACTTCAGGTAAAATTAGACAAACCGTCCCTATAGAGAACCGCACAGTGGGCTGATTGGATCGTTGATTCGCAGCGTGAAGACTCGCATGTTCCACAGAGAGATAGACGCCGCTTGCGTCATTGAAGTTTATTGATAGACTCGCACAACAGTCATTTTCAACAACAAAAAATCAGGGGAAAAAATTGGAAAATTTGAATATTCAGTGCGCAAATTTTAATAATAATTTTTTTTCATGTGTACGACGTGAAACAAAGAATTAATTTTGTTTGGCCTTAATGATGGAATAATGCATCCTGACTAAAGTTAATGTATTTACTTAGAGTGTATCTTGTCATCTAATACTGTATACATTTAAATTTATTTTTTTTAATAGATTTTTATACTTTCTACATTTTTATATATTTAGGTCTGTGCAGTTGCCACTAAATGCGGACTTTCTGTAAAGAATCTGATCCACACCCTAAACTACTTACATGATCTTGGAATCATTCTGTACTTTGAGAACAACAGACTACTGAAGCATACGGTAATAACAAACCCACGGAAGCTGATTGACATCTTCAAGAAAATTATCACTGTAGTGGAACCTCATGACAGCGAAAAGGTGAGTTAACAACAGTAGCGGCACCAGGTGGGGGGGGGGTCAAGGGGCTTATTAAGCTCCCTCATCGAACAAGTCAAGCACCCCCCACCTGCCGAGCTCGTGGGCAGTCAAACAAAAAAGAATTCTAAATCAAGCCAAAACATGTCTTTCACAGTCATAGAGTGCCATTTTCAGCCATCCAGAGGTCCCTATTTTAAAAAAAAATCTCATTTGGGAGTGGGAAACACCTCCCACACCCTAGAACCACCACTAGTGTATCCTTGAGTTTTCTTTAGGCCAAACAAAATTAATTTTGTCTCAAGTCACTTTTGAAAAATTCAATGCAATTTGTCTCATGTCACTTCTGGCTTTAAAAATTCTAGTATGATAATAAGTCAAGTAGGGCAAACGTCATTTTTGATTAAATCTCTCAAAAAGCATTGCAGTACCCACTGACTTGAAGATCTGATTCAACACTAGTCTCTCTTATATTACATACAATTTTTTTCTTAATTTATTTTGTAATGTTTTAAATTTTAAATTATTTTTAAAAATCCACATTCAAGGTGTTAGATTTTCTGAAGAAAGAGATGAAAGTGCTGACATCTGGAATGAAGCACACACGTTATAAGCTGTCTCTTATACACATCTAGATGTGTATAAGAGACAGGATCAAGGTATTGCTTTTTTTCTTTTTTTTCTTTTTTTTTTCTTCTTTTTTTTTTTTCCTTTGGTGGCAAATACTTGGGGAGTTCAGATAGTCAGCCATCCAGCTAGTTAATGATAAGTTGACCTCTGCCCCTTAACTAACTTAATATACAGTGCAATCAATCCTAATAAGAATCTATTAAAAAATAAATAAATATAGAATAGGCAAAGAAATGCAGACATAAATGGTGACTTATTCCATCTTTTCATTGTAAAATGAAATTCAGCAAATTATTTTAAAAAAAGAGAGTTTAAATTATTTTAAGAATGTTAATCTTACTCTACCTCACATGCCATTTGGATTGCAGAACATTTGATTATTTAAAAAACTGGTAATGTAAGATGTACATTTTTCTGGTATTTTCTATCTTTTTTTTTTAATTCATTTGTTTTTTCTCAAGAATCAGGAAAGCAAACATCGCTCATTTTTTGTACCCTGTCGATTGAAACGTAGCAAAGACAATGTGTCTATTCAACTTGATACAGCTCAGATGGTATCTATCTATATGGCCTCCGAGGATTTCATCCCTGATAGTGTCTTCCATCCTCTAGTTGTGAGCTTGATTGGAATGGTACAAGATATGGGCTACACAGCCATGCTGGAATTATTTAGCAACTATGCAAACATCCGCCTAGGACGTGAACACACTCTCAGCTTAGGACCAGTAGTCATTAATAACAAGCCCTCATTGAAGGTAAGATGATAAGTGATGTCATTTAGTTACTAGTCATTGGAGTGATAGGCAATAAAGTGAAAATCAAAATCAAGACAAGAGTGATAATGGTAAAAGTATCTTTGTATGAGTTATTTGAATGTCACACACTTGTATGGTTTTCGTAATTGTTATTGTAATGAATAGAAAAAAATTGTTACAGTAACAGCTGAGAAATTGGGTGAATAAGGGATAATGCTCCTTGCTTTATTCTTACAAAAGTAGTGTTAGGAGGGTAACAGGACAAATCCAGGTGCCATGTCCCTCCCCCCCCCCAACCAAAAAAAAAAAGAAATGAAAAAGAGTAAAAAAAGAGAAGAAAGGAGAAAGAGCCCATACTCCAAAACAGCTATTTCTTAATTTAGATTCTGTGTACAATTGTCAAGCATTTATGGAAAAAATTTAAAACACCATCCCTAACTCCCTTCCCCTGCTCAGTGCTTCACATTTTGCATGCCCCACCCAAACTGTTTTTGTTGGATCCATGATTTACAAAAAAAAAAAAAAAAAAATATGGCAAGTAGCTTGCAGTTGAATTAGAATAACATTTAAATAAAGGATTGGATTGTTCACTTAACGTTATTTCAGGCATGCATTGAATTATTGATTGATGATTTAATCTTTGTATTTTAGCTGGAAATATTACGACTGTCTATCACTCAGGAGGATGGTACCAAGACACCAATAGGTGAACCCAGTCCTAGAGTATGTATGCAGGTAATCTAGTTTGCTAAATGAAATCTTGCAATTGAAATAGCAACTGTGGAATTACACAGATCATTGGTGATGTTCATTATTAGTGATATTACCTGGAGAATCATAAGTAGATTATCCAGGTAGGGTGTATGAGTAATATATTTTCTACTGTACTTGGATGAACATAGAACAGATAAAGTGCAATCCAAATATTTAATATACAGATTATGCTCTTTCATGATTTGGACATCTTGTGTATTGTCTGTTTTCTTGTTTATTTATATATTTTGTTGGAACTTTATTTAATGAGGTTAGCCTGTGCAGCCCACCATTAATGGAAAGCTAATAATTAGGGATCCTCAACAAACAAATTAGAAATACACAGAAAAAATAGAAGAAATATACTGATAAAATGAAGAATAAGTTTGAAAAAGACATTTCCATATGAAACATTAAACCAAAAAAAATAAATTCTTATAATAACATAATAAAAAATGATTGGACTTAAAATAATTTTTTATAATGGAAGAAATCGGTCATTGAGCATCATGAAATCAAATAAATCATATCAAATCTAACAATTCAAAATTTAAATCATAAAGCATTTTTTTTCATGGTGTTTCTCTAATATAGTATGATTCATTTTCTTATATTTTTGTAATGTTATCAACTTTAATTTTTTAATTGTATTAAAAATCCTCATTTAAGGTTTTAGAGTTTCCGAAGAAAGAGATGAAAGTGCTGACATCTGGAATGAAGCACACACGTTATAAGTTCCGTGTCCTGTGCTGGGTAAACTTGCAAGAAATGCACTTCCATGAATTAGAAGAGTGCCTGGAAAATGACTGTATCCTATGTGGGAAGGTATTGATAACCACAGCCAAACTTCAGAGGATGTTCAAGAATAGGCAACTAGTGACAGGTAAATCAAGTAATTTGTCAATCAAAAACAGTATACATACACATACCGTGTGCACACCTATAATAATAATAATAACAATAATAATAATAATAATCATCTTCCTTTTATCGTATTTCTTGGAACATCAGAATAATAAATTGGTAAAAGCGAAATTTATTAACATAATTAATTTTTGTAAAAGATTTTCTTTTTTTAATAATAATAATAATCTGTCTTGATAGATCTTGCTAATTGAACGCTGTCAATACAGTTAAAACGAGAGGCGATCTTGACTACATGGTCTAGATCTTTCTAAGATGCGCCACTGTACCATACAATTAGTGAGAGGGTTAAAACATATTTTATTCAATTTTGTCATATTTTTCTTTTAATGATAATTTATAATTTACATTTTCAAATTTTCAAATTACTCCTTGGAAATCATTGTTTCATCACATCTAGATGTGTATAAGAGACAGAATTTAAAATACACAGAAAAAATAGAAGAAATATACTGACAAAATAAAAAATAATTT